AATTGGATATCATATACTGAGAACAATTAAAATATAACTTATTGCACAAACCAGCCCTCAGCCTCCTGATCCATCTGTCGAGTATACAGCAGTGACTTTGCTGATATGGATCAATCAGCTTCAGATTAAAACTGCAACTACTTCCACACACAGCTTGAAATAACCACAACATAACATGATTTAGAGATTTTAGGTGGAGAAAAATACTATTCATAGCTGTCATATGCTTTTCAACACAATATTATTGCTCTTCAGTAAACATAATCACCAAGTGAAATCATTGCCAAAGCCTTTCTAACATTTGGCGTTCAAAAAACCTTTATTTGATAGAGAAACAGTGCCTGTACTGTTTGAACACTTCTGCACTTAAAAAACCAGAGCCTAGGATATGCACTCAAGGCTTAGATTCTAGATGTCAGCACTTCTTATGCCTTTGGAATGTGTGCCTGTAAGGCTCAATACGGGGAAGACATGAAATACATTTATGTCACCAAACAACTGAAACTACATTTGAATGATTTAGTTGGGCAAAGTAATGTGGACATCACTAGACAGTTTTAGACTCCATTGATTCTAGACATAAATTTAGCTATACATTACTGCCTTTACTTAAACTGTAGATATTTCAAAGGGACTAAACATTATATGACATTAGACTTCATTTTTTTACAAGTTTCCTCTATCCCCTTATGTTTATAGAAAAAAAAACACTTGAAATTATGAACCTGAAAAAGCAAAAGCAGGGGTAAAATAAAGAAACCCAAAATGTGCTGCTTTTAAGAACGTATAGTTTTATCGTTTTTCTTGGGATGATAGAGGGTTAATCCAGTATTTTTCAATATTCAGAAACAGTATTCATTAAGCTGCATCACACACCAGCAGAATTAATTTATTTTATCTAGCCATGGAATCAATTAAGAAGCTTATGGGTCTGAAGTGGGCCAACAAAACTGACTGCTGCACTGCAGATATCAGAACTAGAGAAATAAAACAACCAATTTAATTCTGGTAATATCAAGGGCAAGTGAATTGTTTAGTCTTCTATCCTGCTCTGCTTTCTTTCCCAACATACTCTTTATCTTTTGTATTTTAAGACAAATCCCAGTCATCATGCTACTTACCATTCTGATCTCACTTGGTATCATTTCACCCGCTTCACCTCTGTGCTCTAAGTTCTCATTTCTAAATGCTAAGTTTGCAATGTCTATTTACTGCTCCTTGTTTGCAAATCTATCCCATACTCTTCACAGTCTGGCAACTGCCCTCAACAAAATACTTTATCTTGTTCATCTGGTACTAACAGGTAGAAATCTTCAACTCCTCCAAATTCTCAGAATGAGCTTCTACATCATACTGAACAACAGTACATTGCTTTACATTACTCAGGGCTATAATCTGAATAACACAATTCTTTTTCAGATCTATGTGAAGTTCTGTGGTCCCCACTGTAAGAGAGACATGGACCTGCTTGAGTGGGTCTAGAGGAGGGCCTCAAAAATGATCAGAGGGCTGGAACACCCTCTGATTCCTCTGGTTTACCCTCTCAGGGGAGAGACCTGTCTCAAAAGGGGACAAGGATTTTTGTCTAAGAGATAGCAGGGCTGATTCACAGGGCTCTAAATTAGATGCTAAGGGGGGAGGGAGTGGTGATGCTGTGATCATCCCTGATAAGCAACAGGACAACATGCCAGGCTTAGAGGAATAGGAGAATGACAGGGTAGTCAAGGAACACCCTCGGGGATTAAAGGGATGCCCTCTAGGATGCTAACACATCCAGCAGCCCAGCTGAAGCGCCTCTGCACCAACGCATGCAGCCTGGGCAACAAACAGGAGAAGCTGGAACCTACCGTGCTGCAGGAAGGCCAGGACATAGTGGCCATCACTGGAACCTGGTGGGACGAATCCTGGGAGTGGAGCATGGCTATCAATGGCCACAGACTGTTCAGGAGGGACAGGAGCGGAAGGAGGGCTGGCAGCATTGCCCTTTATGTTAAAAAATTGATGGACTGCACAGAGCTGTCCCTTAAGAACAGCCACGAGGAGGTCGAGAGCTTATGGGGAAGAATCGGGGATCAAGATAACAAAGGCAGTCTTGTGGCTGGTGTCTACTACAGGCCGCCCGATCAAGGGGAGCTCAGCGATGAGACAGGGTGGGTGCAGACTGCCAGCAAGCTGGATGGGCCTAGAACACTGGGCAAGAGGAAAGATGTGGAAGAGAAAGAGCGGGGGCATCATCGCTACCTAGCGCATGGAGAGACTGGTGATAAATCTGGAAGTCAAGTTGTGAAGACTGGTACGGCCAGAGTTATAAAAAGAAAGGAGAGAACAAGAATAAAGCTTGAGATTGATACCTTTTCTTTTAACAGACCTTCTTTCTTCGATTACCTGATACAACAGAAATGCCTTAGAATACTTCTATAGGCTCTGGCTTCTCCAGAGTTGTGTAGAAAGAGGATAGAAGCAACAAACTGTAGAGAAAAGATGCCATAGCAAGAACCCCAACAACAGTTGTGTGAGGATGATTAAACTGTATGCCAAATAACTTTGGAAAATGAACAGACTCTTGCATGACTAAGAATAACCCATGAGCTCCTGTGTGCTTTAAGGCACAAACTGATGGCACGGCTGGTAACTCTAATCAGGCAAAATGTTCATGGTAATTGGCTTTAAAAAAAAAAAAAATCTGGCCTGGTCCACATTTAGCCAGTACATTCCAATTAATTAGCTCCAGGCAGAAATCTCTTTCCTGTCCATATGGAGTTTGGGGTTTGTGAACTGAAGAGGTGGAGATGGCAGAGAGGGGGAAGGTAGGAAGGATGAGTTTTCTTCCAAGGCTACAGACATCCACCACTGTTCAAAAGAGAATGTAAAACACATTTAATTAAAAGCATTAGAAGCCATTAGAAATTGCCTTATCAGAAGCTTAAAATGCTTACTTTGGAAATTAGCGATGTGTAACATGTTAGTACGGATGCTGGAACAGTAACCAAAAAACCTGAAAATTCTTATTCTTTTAATTGGAAAAATCTTTGTTCTCTGCTCATGTATTTCACCTAAAGAAATTCTGTCCATCTCTTTAGAGAGCATTAATTGATAAATTGCTCCTTGATTTCTCTCATGCCTTGTTTAGGACATCAAGTGTTTAATATCTTCATCAGTGACCTGGATGAGGGGATTGAGTGCACCCTCAGTAAATTTGCAGATGACATGAAATGCAGTGGGAGTGTGGGTCTGGGGGAGGGCAGGAGGGTCTGCAGAGGGAGCTGCACAGGCTGGAGCCATGGGCTGGGGGCGGCTGGATGAGGTTCAGTGAGGCCAAGTGCTGGGTCCTGCACTCGGGTGACAACAACCCCAGGCAAGGCTCCAGGCTTGGGGAGGAGTGGTTGGAAAGCTGCCAGGCAGAAAGGGACCTGGGGGTGTTGGTGGACATGAGCCAGCAGTGTGCCCTTTGACAGGGTCCCTGTTATTAGTTCTTTGCATGGCTAAGCTTATGACTTCTTTACTTATGACTGATAAGACGAACTGCTGCTATCTACTGGGATTTCATCAGATGATGGAAGAATGAAATAATGGAAAAAGAGAAAGACCTGGGTTTCAAAGGAGTAAGTATGGGCCACTAATCTAAGTCCACAATAAAGGCTGCATTGAAATTCTTTCCAACAGTGAAGGGAATATACTGACACCATTTTAAAGCTAGTAAAGTCTTATTGCTGGAAATAGTTCTGTTGATCTTTGCCTACCACTCTGGACAGCCCTGTGCAAGAAAGATGAATTTACATCAGTATGAGTACAAAGAAAGTTTGCAAGACTGATGAGGGGAATGGAGACTCTAAGCTGCATGAGGTGAACAGCCCCTGACTTATGCACTAAACAAATTAAAAAGAGCTCACAACCCTCCCAGCCTCAAAACACACCAATTGCTCTCCACAACCAAGTACTTAGGGATAATGAAAAACCCCACACATTCTTTAAGCTAACAGTAATGATATAGTAACAAGTTATATATAGTGGCCAATTATACTAAAAACTGAAGAAAACAGGTGGATTGTTTGAAAATGCTGAAGAATGTTGCTATTCTTCCATTTTGTGTGTCATCATATCAGCCTGCAGCCACCATACAGGTACAGTTAAGAAAAACGGGTTTGTGTCTGGAACAAGGATGTGCAGAAGATGACAGTGAGTGAAAAAGAATCTCAGAGCTGTAATCTGCATTAACATACAAGTGCAGGCAAGTCCCTGAAAAGTAATAACAAGATATGACACAACTCACATGAAAGGTGAAAGAAAGAAAGAACAGATTTATGAAAAGATATTAAAAAGGCAAGTGGAGTTCCATTTTATCTATCTAATCTTAAACTAGACCAGAACACAAAACCATTAATGTCATTGAAAGACACCAGAAAAACAAAGCAAAACCCACTTAACTTCTTTCTGTAGCAACATTCCAAATCACATGACAGGTGAAAATGGGTTGCAGTGTTGCTACAGGTGACAGACTTAATTCTACTCTATCTTGAGTACGTGATTCCCTAGAGTACCAGAGGCATAGCAGAGGAAGATCCCCTCACAGGCTATGTATGTGTAATGGTGAAGTATTCTCCAGAATCCAAGACCATCAAAAACTCCCTTGGACAGTAAAAAAAAAAACCTTAGGATCTTTCCCCTAATAAACATGTTGCAGAAATACCCCAATTTGTTGATTTACGTTCTTTGAAGTCTGTCTTTTACAGTGTCCTGAAGAATCTATTACTTGGAGGCAAAGCTGTACGCTTAACACTTTTTGACACTCAACTGTTCTTCTACAAAAGTCATCAAATAATTTGAAAATGAAAACAAATCCTCCTTGAGCAATGTATGCTCTTCATGACTTACACATTCTTTCTCTATAAATGACAACACTGAAAACAAAATCAACTTTTTAACTTAACACAGAACATTTAAAAAAAAAAAAACAACACAACAAAACCAGCTACAAAAAAACACCTCCAATCCATAATTACCTGGTTGGTAGAAATTTGGTGAAAGTTCTCTGGCAACTGCTCTTGCAATATCACATTCCTGAGGCACCGGCTCTTGCAATATCACATTCCGGCTGAGAAGCCTGAGCAGCCTGATCCGCAGCATCAGCTTTAGCTCTTGCATGTGCAGTTCTGTACAGAGTAGAAAACAGTTTATAGACAGACAAGTCTTTTTTTATGAGTCGCATCGAGGGTGCTCGGCCCCCACACGCCCTAGCGTACAGCGCACGCCGCTTCCTCCGAGGAACTGCACAGCACTCCAGGCATCCCCCCAGCTCTTCATCCTGCTCATCTTTGTATCATGTTCGCTTGTAGGCACACAATTTACAGCCCAAGCTTATAATTAAAATTTCTGAATAGAAAAAAATAGCGTCTGACTGAAGTTTGGGATTATGATTTTTATACACGTTACCAGATTGCATACAGAAATATACAGGTCAGACTGGGCCACCACGCTGTCTCCTAAACAGGGGTCTGTGAGACCAGGATGCAGTGTGCTATGCTATCACCTTCACAACATTCCAAAGTTAATGGTGGATGCTGTACGTGAAATTGAGATATGCTGGCCCCCAAAACTGAGACACAATCAGACCATCTCGGAAAGGAACGGGATGAAAAATGCTTGATTCTTCAATAGGCATTTGTACCAATGGGGACTTAACAGTTTTAAAACCTTGTAACTCACTGGGTTTCAAATCCAAAACAAACTGAGAAGGCAACTTTTCTGAAGCCAAGACAACAGCTCGGCATACCTTCGTAATCTGCCCTCTGCTTCCACTTCTCTCCTGCTGTTTATTACAAGGCCTCGAGACAAGCCTGCGCACCCTGATTCCAGACTGTGCAAACTGAAAGCTTTGTAGTACTGCAGTTTTGCATCACTGTCTCATCTTCCCTCCCTGCTTCATTTTTTGAACAGTCATCTGTTTAACAATTCCTGATGGCAGTGAGCTCTCCGTGCCTCTACAGCATCAGCAGATAGCCTAGAGCTACGAAATGGTTCGTTAGGACAACGGGGAAGCGAAGCATGACAAACCAACACAGTTTTTTGAGCCTCCAGAGATAATAACATTTCTAAACCAGATGTATTAAATTTCATAATCTTAGAAATTTCCTCATAACATTCTGGTAGGACACTTACACTTAAGTAAGAAAAAAAATGAGCTGAGGACAAGAGCAGCAGCAGCTTTCCTCCCACGTGCCAGGTGATACGAACTGAACCGACAGCAGTCAAACACTGAAGTTTTCAACAACTTCACTGTGAAAACTCAGTTTTATTTCCAAGGAATAAAGAAGAGTTCTGTGTGTCTTAGACACAGCAAGAATCAAACGTAAACATTAACCAGAACGAGTAGCAAGAGATCAACAGTATGGCAGACATTTCATTACTAAGGGGATGTTTAATCCCGAGGGTAACAGTATAAACACAGACAAAAAAAACACGCACAGATAACTTCATCTGTGGTGCCTGGAGCAGACTGAAGTTACATCCTCCCTAAAACGTGTGCAGGGATAAATGTTGAAAGTTGTTTCAAAGCCTTAGCTTATCGTAATTTACTGGATAAATATCAGCTCATGCTGCCTTCCTGCAGGTCCCTCTAGGTCTCTCAGATAAAAGATAATGAGCAAATAGGCACTTCACATCTTCAACTTGTATTCAGGATGGGGGGAAGCAACCGTTAATCAAAACAAATATATCATATAATCCCCTATGTGTTCTGCTCAGTTCATGAATAGTTGTACAGTATGTGCTTGCTTAGTAACAGTAATCAAACCTGTCCTTTCTCTATAATCATTACTATCAATTAGATGAGTTATTCTTAGCTCCTGCACCATTATGTCTATGTCTAAACTTAACAAAGCTATCCTAGCACTGGGACATTGTTTTGTGAGACAATAATATGGTCTGCACACAGATAAACTAGACAGTGATCATCCTTTTGTGATGATAGAACAACCAGACTTCTCCCATATAAAAATAGTCTAATACTATTGCCACTGCTACAAAGGACATTTTAAAAGATAACATACTAAATAACCAGCAGCAGGAACTATATGATCAGCCACGATAGTACAGTTACTGATGTATGCCTATGCATTGTTTACATTATTATAACACAAGATCTTGTGTGTGAAGCAAGCATATTGTCAGAGAAAAAAGAAGGCTGACTCTCATAAACATTTGGCATAAGACTCTGTGATACTGGGACAATTCTTTTGGCAATCGTAGTCTCTGTTAGAATGCAGATGTGACAGTCCCTCACTGCCCAAGGTAAGAGGTCCCAGTTCTTTTGGTGAGTATAAGACACCAAATCCACACACTGAGGAATCATGAACTCTAAAGAGGTCCCATTTCCTCCAGAGCACCTGAGGCTACACAACTACATACCCCAGGCCATAAATGGCTAGGACACCAAAGGTGTCCATTTCTTCCTGCAAAGCTACTTTGCTAGCAGTGAACCCTTTTGTTTCACCAAAGCTGAGCTTTGTTGTCATGAGAACAAGGTGTCACTCCACCTATGAAAAGATGATTCCTTGCCAGCAAGACGTGGCAGTCAGCCAAACAGCGGTAGCAAGGCAGAGGTACAGTTTCCTCACAGGAAGGCCAAACTGTTGAAGTCTTTGCCCTTAGGTGCGTTTCCACTTGACAGCATCCTTCTGTACAATTAATACCACTTAGGCAGCTCAATTGCAAGTCACTGTAAAAATATTCAGGCTCTTTTTCTTGCCTCTATACATTACTCATGACTTTCTTTGGCTAGTGTCTGCTACAGCTTTCACTGAATTTAACAGTCACTCATTAATGTGGAAGATGACCCTGCACGAATAAGAAGCTTCTCCGGTGTTAACCATGCACATGTGCCTCCATCTTTTGAATCTCATTATCTCTAACTGGGATCAACACTGAGACTCACACTGGAGTAAATATGGTTACTGATATCCATGTTGGGAGCATCAGTGGTGCTGTCATTCTGAAATGTTTATCTCAGTGGGGTGTAAGAGCATCAATATGTTGCTAAATAGTATTCTGTGACATTTTGCTATGGCAGTTGGGCATTAGTTTGCTCCATAATGTACTTAATAGGGACTTAATTGCTTAAAAAGAAATGCTGGAGCTTACTTCAGGGTTTGATGAGGCCATGAGCTGCTGCGGAAGAGAGTTTCAGTCATGAATCTCACCTATGGTGCATTCCAGGAGCTACGGGCAGGCAGATGAACTATATGAACATGGTGTTTCCCCAGCAGAAGCATGACTGACTTGTTTATCTTGTGCAGGGGAGAGTATGGGAGTTGCAAAGTGGACTAAATTTAAAGCGTGCAGATTCTTATCTGCGTAGTTTAGGAATCTCTAGGCAGGGGCATCTGAACCGGAGAACATTAGATCAGTACAGACAGAATTCTGGATATTGTGGAAAGCTTTGGAAATACTTGAGCTGAGTAGTAGTATTTTCAATACCCACCACATTAACTCACTGACAGCGAGGGGGAAGCCCCTTCTATGCCACCCTCCTACGTGGAAGCCTAGTACACCACACACTGTGCTGTCCTAGGTGGGAGTGAGGAAAGGCTCAGCTAAGCCAGGCCTAAGGGAGCAGCCCCAGCCCAGCCCGGCGGCCGCACAGGCTCACCCGAGCGACCCACAGCCGCAGGAGAAACGCGCCCGCTGAGACTGCAGCCAGACGGGCTCTGTGTGAGTGAGAGTTCCCCCAGCCTGTGTCAGAGCTGAAGTTAGCCCTGTTACCCATGGGAGAATTAAGCAGAGTCCACCTCCAGCTAATTACTTTTCCTGCTACAGTATCTCTGCATTAAAGTGTATGAATTACATCTAACACAAGCTTCAAAAACTTTGATAATATGAAGTTTGGAATGCAGAAACTTAAATTAAATAAAAAAAAAGTAAGGTTATTTAAGAGATGTTTGGTATCCATCTGTTCTTGAAGTAAACTAAAGAAAAAAGGGCTGTTATTCAGGTCAATTAGTATGGCATAATGTCTAATTATCAATATCAATACGAATGTCAATAGTTTTGTCTTAGTACTGACAATGTCACAACTAAAATTACTCAAAAGATTTCTTTGCAGGTTATACCTACTTTCTTTTAGTGTCCTTTCAAGTAAATCAACGCACTATGTCTAAAGCCTTCTCAGTCCACTGTTCTTCATGGTAACTACAGTACCAATGTTACCAATCTATTCTTTATAGTGGTCTCTTTTCCTACACATAACAATGATTCCAGAAGATTTGTTTTACATGTAAAATATAACAGTTAGCTTGGAATAAATCCATGAACCTAACTGCCTTCTGCATCAAGCACTTTTAAACCACACTAAGAGAATGCACTGGTATCCTGAAAGACCATGACAAAATTTCAAATAGTTAATCCACAATATTTTATATACAGAAAAATTTACACAGCTAAGAAGCAATTTAGCTAAGGAGAATGATCTCTATCTTGGTGTTGTCTGTTGATTTCCTTACCACAAATCAGATTTAAAAAAAGAAAATTTATTTTTATTTCTCTTGTTATACTGCTTTTTGTATGGAGCAACCATGTTTCTCTCCTGTAGCTTGCTGGGTTTAGAGGCTGTGGGACACAGAAACAGTGTCACTAATCTCAGATGAAAATACTTATGAAAGGTCTAGCAGTTCTCTGTTATCCTTCAGATGACATTTTTCAGAGTGCTTAAAAGGAGCAAAGTACATACTGTCTAAGCAAGTTCTCTGAACAATGGTTTTGCCTCTTAACAGTGTCAGGCTTATATCAGAGAACAGAAACGTTAAAAGGCAAGAAGCCAAACAGGTTAGTAATGAAGTATGTTCAGCAGCAATGAAGCTGTGAAAGCAGCTAGCTGCTACACCGTGGAAAGACAGAAGGAATGAAAGTATTTGAGAGTATCTGTAGAGACACTGAGTCAAAGTGAAGAAAATGGAAAATATAAATAGGAAAAAATATATCTTCAGATACATTTTGTGAATAAACATAACAATACACAATGTAGCTTGGAAAATTTTATGGCAATAGGTATGGGCCATTTTTGTCTTTTTCCTTGTGAATTATGAAGGCAAGAAAAGGATTAAGGGCAGTCTTTGAATACAAGGGTGGCACTACATTCACTCAGATAAATCACTGCATC